ACAAGCCGCCCGCTCCAATTTCTTTGGAGCGCCAGATAGTCGGGGCCTGCTTCTGCGCCGTGGACGCCGCCAGCCAGGCGGCCCAGTGCCGAGCGCAGACGGCCGGCAGCCCGTGCCGGGCGGCAGGCAGCGCGCGCCGGGCGGGGCTGCCGCCCGTGGGCCGCGGCGCTCGGCAGCCCGCGCCGGGGGCGCAGCGACTCCCCGCCGGGCGCTCGGCAGCCCGGCCCATCGGAACGCCGCGCAGGGCCTACCCCGAGGGCCACCCAAGGCTTACCCCCAGGGCCTGCCCCTGGGGCTGCCCTAGGCGTATCGCCTTCGCATTGGGCCCCTCTTGGGGTCCTCTTGGGACAAGGGGGGCCCTCTCGAAGGAGGCCTCCCGGAAGCCTCGGGGGCCGCCTGGGAGACCTCTCGAGAGGCCGCCCTGGGGGCCAGCCTGGGCGCGTCGCGACCTTCACCGAGCGCGCTCCACGACTCGCAAAGCGCCTGCTCGCAAACGTCCGAGAAGCACACGTTCGCCTCGACGCAGTAGAGCGCAGATCCCCCGCGTCGGGTCCAGGCCAGTTGCGCGTGGCTCCTCTGCGAGCAGTGGAGCGCGCGCGTCTAGACCTGCCAAGTGCCCTGCCGGTGGCCCAGCCTGCAGCGGCAGACCCGGGCGGCGCGCAAGCCGCGGCTGAGCCGCCGCCTCGCCCCCCCCCCGGGGGTCGGCGCCACCCCAACATAAATTATGTGCGTCGCCCCCTCAGGGGCGACGCGCGCACCGAGAACTCTTCGAGTATACGCGTCGTGGCGGGCGCTCTCTGGCCACACCGCTCGGGAAACGATGTACTACAAGACAGGTGTACTCTATGGTCGGGTCGGACGCGCGCCTCCAAGGAGGACATATAGTATTCGCATGTCCCTGTGCGTCCCCCCGGGGGGCAGCTTCCGGCGCCCGCCCGCGGGAGCAACCAGGTCGGTTGACCCGGGCGCCAGCTTCACCGCGCGGTCCGTCGCCGCACGCTCTTTGGACCCTGCTCCGTCGCCCGAGACGTCCTCGGAGAGCGGCCTCAGTCTGGTGGAGGACGATCAATGGAGATGAAGCATGTTGCCAAATAATTTCCAGATGTCTAAAACATGTGTTAAACATGCTTTAAGCATGTAAACAACATGGTTTAAACATGTTTGGAACATTTTTCCGATACTTTAAACATTTTGAATTCAATGATAGGACTCTTATGGTGTCCATAGTCGTGGCATCCGCAACCTCAGTCCCAAGTGCGGCTGCCCCGAGGCCCCACTGGCTCACCACACGGTGTGGTCACTGGACTGCCATGGAGCCTCCGACGTTTCGAAGACCTCAAGACCTCCGAGAACAGGAAGGCCGACCTGGGCAAAGGACGGCGCCGCGGCGCACCTGCCCCAGCTCCCGCGGCCGCGACGGAGCAACTGCCGCGCCAGGAGGCGCAGCGAGGGAGCCGCGCCTGCGAGCGTGAGGCCCGGAGGGTGTGGGAGCAGGAACAGGGGCGCGCCGAGTCCGCTGGCCAGTCGGCCAGCAGACCCCCTGGGGGCAGCGCGGGTGGGCCGGGGCCCGCTTACTGCACTTGCTGGACGAAGGCGAGTGTCCCAAACGGAGTCGGAGTCGGAGTCGGAGAGATGGGAAGGGACCAAGAGTCGGAAAGAAAATAGAAGCCGGAGTGGAGTCGGAACCTGCAGAAGACTTTCAACCGTTCTTGCCAACATAAAGAATCAGGATCGTGAGCCGGAGTCAGAAAGGCGGGAGCTGGAATCGGAGCCGGGGTCGGGGAGACGGGATGAGAGCGGGAGGCAGAGGCAAAGGCAGAGGAACAGGCAGAGTTCGAGTAGGAGGTCGACGACAGAATTGATGTACTCCAAGGTTGGAATTGTCGTCGAATCTACGGCAAGTGCGTAGAGTGCTTCGTAGATCCACGAAGCATTTTCATTTATTTTCTCAGATTCGAAGGGGGAAGCAATGTTTGGCTGAATCAATTCTGTAGTCGATCCCCTGCTCGAAGAGTTGGGGATCTGGATTGTGCCCTCCAACGCCGAGAGGCTGCCGCCGGCGGAGATGCCTGGCGGGCATCCCATCTCGGTGCGCTCGAGCTGCGGCCCTGCGCGCGCTCTGCGCCGGAGGGCCGCGCCCGCGGCGCGCGGCTGGCTTGGGCAGGGGGCCCGAGGCCAGGAGGCCCTCCTCCCGTGTGACACCCCCTGTGCCCCTGAAAGTCCTGCGCCGTCCCCCCCCCCTCTCCTCTGCCCTCCGCCGCCGCTCCTCTCCTCTCCCTTCCCCCCCTTCCTGCCGCTCCCCTCTGGGGGCTGCTCTGTCGTCCCTTCCCGCCTCTTCCCGCGCCGTGCTGCGGCTCCTCCTTGGCTCCTCCTTCGCTCCTCCCTCCTCGCCCTCCTCTGGCCGACCTCGTGCCGTCCCCGCTCCCGTCCGTCCCCGTGCGGGCGCCCGGGCCGTTCTCCGCCCTCCCCAGACACTGGGCTGGAGGGCTCCTGGCCCCTCCCCGTGGCATTCAGTCGGGCGTGTTCTCCTACAGGGGGAGTAGTCAGAAGTAGTCAAAAATAGTCTGGGGACGATTTTCGACTATTTCTGAGCAGTTTGGGGGGTATTTTTCGAGTACTTTTTATTCTTCGCGCAAAATCCCCCTGTAGGGGGACACGCCCGACTGAACATTGGGCTGGAGGGTTCCTGGCCCCTCCCCGTGGCAACGGCCAGCGGCGAGCCTGGGGGGGAAGTGAGAAGGGGCGGGCCCTCGCAGAAGGCTCGGAAGTCCCCCGGGCCCTCTGAGAAGTTTCCCAAGCCTTCCCCGAAGACGCAGAAGACCTCTCGGGAGGCCGGACGGCTTCTGAGCAGTCCCGCCGCCTTCCGAGAGGGCCTTCTCCTTCTCATTCCCCCCCTCCGCTCGCCGCCGAGTTGCGAGGAGGGGCCCATAATGCCGTGGGCGCACCTGCTCTGGGGCGGTGCCTGGCCGCGCAGCCACGGTGCACGCGGCGTGGCCCAGCAGCGCGGCAGCGAGGCAGCCCCGCGGCGCAGGGCTGCCCTTTGGTGGGGTCGGGGGGGGGCGTGGGCGGCGGTCGGGTGGGGCGGGCGGCCTCCCTCGCCGTCGGCTGCTGCCGTGCCATCGTCTTCTGTTTTTGTAGCTCTCCCCCCGCCCCCCCTGTTGCTCACAGGGGCGGATGGAATCCATGGTGCCGAGGATCGTCCTGACACCGCCACGAGCCTCAGCCTGAGACGGAGGGGGAGGGCCATGATGATGATGATGATGCTGATGATGATGATGCTGATGATGATGCTGATGATGATGATGATGATGATGATGATGATGATGATGATGATGACAAAGATGATGATGGTGGTGGTGATGATGATGGTGATGATGCTGATGCTGCTGCTGATGCTGATGATGATGACGAGGATGATGATGGCGGTGGTGGTTGTGGTGATGATGATGATGATCATGATGGTGGTGGTGGTGATGCTGCTGATGACGAGGATGATGATGATGATGATGATGATGATGATGATGATGATGATGATGATGATGATGATGATGGTGATGATGATGATGATGATGATATTGATGACGATAATGATGATAATGAGGATACCGATGATGATGATTCTGATGATGTTGATGATGATGCCGACAACGATGATGATACTTATGCTGATGACAGTACTGAAAGATGATGACGACGATGAGGATGATGATTATGAAGATGACGATTCTGATGATGCGGATGATCACGATGACGATGATGATGCTGCTGATGATGATGACGATGATATTGTTGATTGTGATGATGATGATAACGAGGAAGATGTTGCTGATTCTGATGCTGATGATGATACTGCTGCTGCTGATGCTGACGATGATCATGATACTCATGATGTTTCTGCCTTTGATGGTGCTGCTGACGATGATGATGCTGATAATCATGATGATAATCATGATTCTGATAATCATGATGATGATGATGATGATGCTGATGCTGATGCTGATGAGGTTGCTGCTCATGAGGATGACGATGATGATGCTGCTGATGATGATGATGATCATCATGATGATGCTGATGATGATGCTGATGATGATGATGCTGACGGTGCTGATGCTGATGCTGATGCTGCTGCTGATACTGCTGCTGCTGATGATGCTGATGCTGATGATGCTGATGATGCTGCTGACGAGGATGATGATGGCGGTGGCGGTGGCGATGATGATGATGATGATGATGATGATGATGATGATAATGATGATGATGACGAGGATGATGGTGGTGGTGGTGGCGGTGGTGGTGATGATAATGATGACGATGATGATGACGATGATTATGCTGATGATGATGACGATGATGCTAATGACGATGATGATGATGACGATCATGATGATGATGATGATGATGATGATGATGATGATGATGATGATGATGATGATGGCGGTGATGGTTATGATGATGATGATGATGATGATGATGATGATGATGATGATGACGAGGGTGATGATGCTGATGTTTCTGCTTATGCTGATGATGATGATGATGATGATGATGATGATGATGATGACGAGGATGATGATGGTGGTGGTGGTGGTGATGATGACGAGGATGATGATGATGTTGATGATGATGATGATGATGATGACGATAATGCCGGTAAATGTGATGATGATGATGATGATGATGATGATGATGATGATGATGCCGACGACGATGCTGATATTTATGCTCATGATGATGCTGGATGATGATGCTGACGTCGCTGAGGATAATTATTCTGATGATTACGATGACGATGATGATGATGATGATGGTGATGCTGATGATGCTGCTGCTGATGATGATGACGGTGATGTTTTTTTTTTGATGGTGAGGATGATGATGACGAGGGTGATGATGCTGATGATGATGGTACTGCTGCTGATGAGGTTGACGACGATTATGATACTGACGCTGATTCTGCTGTTGATGCTGCTGCTACTGACGATGGTGATGATGATGATGATGCTGATGATGATGATGATGATAGTAATCATAATGATGCTGATGCTGATGATGCTGCTGCTGCTGCTGATGATGATGATGATGATGATGACGAGGATGATGATCATTGTGATGATGATGCTGCTGATGATGATGCTGATGATGATTATGATGATACTTCTGATGATGATGCTGATGACGTTGATGTTGATGGTGGTGGTGGTTGTGGCGGTGGTGATGATGATGCTGCTGCTGATGATGATGATGATTCTGCTGCTGATGATGCTGATCATGATGATTTTTTTATTTTTATTTTTTAAATTAGAAAACAAACACACTTTGGATGATGATGATGATGGTTATGATGACGATGATGATGGTGATGATGGCGGTGGTGGTGATGGCGGTGGTGTTGGTGGTGGTGATGATGCAGTTTCTGCTGCTGCTGCCGAGGACGATGATGATGATGATGATGATGATGACGATGATGCTGATGTTGATTATGATGATGATGATAATGATGATGATGATGATGATGATGATGATGGTGGTGGTGGTGGTGGTGTTGGTGGCGGTGGCGGTGACGGTGGTGATGATGATGATGATGTTGATGGGGAAAGCGCAGGGAGGTGTTGATGGCGGTGGTGATGATGATGATGATGCTGCTGCTGACGATGATGATGATGATGATGATGATGATGATCATGGTGATGGTGATGTTGACGGTGATGATGCTGATGATGTTGATGATGATGCTGCTGATGATGATGGTGCTGACGCTGCTGCTGCTGATGATGATGATGAAGAAGATGTTGATGATTCTGATGCTGCTGATGATGATGAAGATGATGATGGTGATATTGATGATGATGATGATGATGATGCTGCTGATGATGATGGTGATGGTGTTGGTGATGGTGATGGTGATGGTGATGGTGATGATGACGATGATGACGATGATGATGATGATGATGATGATGATGATGATGATGATGATGATGATGATGATGATGATGATGATGATGATGATGATGATGATGATGATGATGATGGGATATCGTGGGAGCCCTTTTGGGGCCTATTGGAGGCAGTTTCGAGGCCTCTTGGGGTCCGCCTGGCGGCCTCTTGGAGGCCTCTTGGGGGCCTCTTGGGCCTCCTTGGAGGCCTCTTGGGGTCTCCTGGGGGCCTCTTCGGGCGAAAGGCTGGAATTGTCGTTCGTGTTCCCCCTCGTGGGCTGATTTTTGGGCCGTCTTGGGGCTCTCTTGCCAGTGCCGCCGACCCTGAAGACGACGACGACGGCGAGAACGAGGAGGAGGAGGAGCAGGAGGAGGAGGCGGAGGAGGATGAGGAGAGGGGCGAGGAGGACGACGAGGAACATCGAGTCGAGAATCAGCTCCGCGCGCCCCAGGAATGCACGGCCGAGTGTTCCTGCGCGGAGTATTCAAGAGGCAGTGCCCTTGCGCGGGGGCCATCCTGCGCGCGACGGGGCGCCCGTCCGCTGATCTTCAGGCGCCCTCAGGGAGACCTCGAATTTTTTTGTTGGCCGACGACGGCGGCAGTCCCATCATCGTCGGACCGTCCACGCCCTTCCCGCTCTACGCCGACGATCGTTGTCCCGCTCAGCCGGTCGCCGCTCTCTCTCTCGATCTCGCTGGCCCAGCTGTGCCGCAGGAGGGAGAAGACAGCGACGAGAGGGATGATGCCGAGGACTGCCGCTCGCATTTGTTTTTCTCCTGTTTCCTTCTTCTCTCGCAGATAGCGCGACAGGAACGCGTGGGTGTCCTGGCTCTCCTCTTGATCCCCCTCTTCGTATTCCTCTTTCGCCTTCTTCCCTGTCTTCCTCCTCCGTCTCCTCCGTCTCGCTTCTGTTCTCTTTTCCTTCAAACAACGAGCAGGAGGAGCAGGTGGAGGGCGCGCCAGGTTTGCGATGACCTGGCTACCCGAACATGGTTGTCGTGCCGTGGGCGTGTCCCTGCAGCGACTTGCCTTGCGCTGCAGGGCCGGCAAGCCGGCGAGCCAAGGGACTACCTTGCTGGCAGTTCTCGGTGGCCAAACAACGCAGTCGTGTACGCCACCCGCCCCTCTCCCCCCAGCCCCTGCCAGTGACGTTTTCCTCCGGTTTGCAAGCCGCTGAAAGCAGCGGCGGTCAGGGGCGGGCGAACTTCGAAGGCAAGTGGGCAGGCCTGGAGAAAGGGGTGTCTCAGGCGAGGTGCGCTCGCGCCGCATCTGACATCCTATCCCGCCCTCCCATCCCTTTCCATGGCGCCGATGTGTCTCTATCTGCGGACGCGTGTCATAGCCAACCTGCGACTCCCACAGAAAGACCACCTCGTGTTGTGCGCGATCGGCAACAGGGGAGCTGCGTGCACAGGAGGGGGAGGAGGTGGCGGGTGAGTAGGAGGATGAGCGGGAGGAACAGGATGAGGACGAACAACAGAAGCAGGAACTAAAGCGGACGGATCGGGACGAAAAGTAGGACCAGGGGAAGGCGGAGGAGGGGATTTAGAGGGGGGCGACAACAGA